TGCGGCTTTGCTCCCGGTGTCCCTGGTCTGCTGGAGACGGTCCCCAGCAGACCAGGGGCACCCAGAGCAGCTTTTCTCGCTCCGGAGGTCGAGGTGGCGGGTCTGCTGCCTGCGAGCTCCGGGGCGAGAAAACCCCGTTCGTAAGTGCGGACCCGACATAAGTCGGATCCGCGTAACTCGGGGACTGCCTGAACTTCAAAGTGGCAGCACTGCACAGCTGATCTGTGGATCTGCTTCTATACCTTTCAAAGGTACAGTGGAGCCTGAGGTCAACTGGGGACTCCCCAGCTAATCCTGGGCTCCCTGCAGCACTTCCCTGGAACCTGGGATCAGCTAGGGACTCCCCAGCTGACCCCGGGCTCCTAGCGGCATGCAGTGTATCATGGAGCCCGAGGTCAGTGGGACTCAGAGTCTCCCGCTGACCCCAGGTTCTGTGGCTTTGAAATACACAAGAGCCCCTGCTGGAGACTCTTGTGCATTTCAAATGCAGCCTGGAGTCAGTGGAACTTCCTGCTGGCCCCGGGCTGCACGCGGAGTTCCTCCTTTGAAATGCACAAGATCCCCAGCAAGGAACTTTTGTACACTTCAAATGAGGAATGAGGAAGTGCCTATTGACTAGTCCATGGAAATTCCGTCTACTAGTCAATTAATCGCATTTTAACATCCTTAGTCTAGTACTTGCGCGCCTTGAACCTGCTCTCACCTTCCCCACTCCCTTTGTTCTTTAGTCTTCTCTCTAATGATATTGAAAACACTTTGAGGGCAGAGATACTAGCTTTTCCTTGACTATGAAGAGCTAATACAATTAGAGCAATATATAAATAATAAGCTAATTTTCCTTTTTCAATTTCAGAGTGTGAAATAAAAGCAGATCTTGTTTTCTTGATTGATGGCTCCACTAGTATAGATCCAGAAGACTTTGTCAAGATGAAGACATTTTTGGAAGCTGTAATTGATCAGATTTTTTATGAACACAATGTTCAAGTTGGCATTGCCCAGTACAGTCACTTGTATAAAAAAGAAGTCAACCTAGGTGCTTTTCCAGGCAAATCAGAACTGAAAGCTCAAATTCAGAACATTGAACAGATTACAGGAAATACTTTAATTGGAAGTGCACTTACAAATGTGAAGGAATTCTTTGCCCCGTCAGGCAGCAAAAGAGTAACAAGAAATGTTCGACCGATTTTGCTGGTACTCACTGATGGGGAGTCACAGGATAATGTTGCTGAACCAGCAGAAAATCTGAGAAAGCAAGGTGTTGATATGTATGCTATAGGAGTTGGGAATATTAATGACTTTCAGCTCATGCAAATAGCTGGTGCCGCAGAAAGGAAGTACACTGTTGATGATTTCAGTAAGCTGACGATCATTAAAAACAGATTAGTTAACGACATATGCCACCCTGTTGTTCCTACAAGTAAGTATAAATGACTAAGGGGGGAATTTAAATTTCAGTTCTGGACTCGGGTCCCACCTCTAGAGCTATTTTTCTTCAAATATGCTCTGTTTTGACCATCACTGAGGACGACTGCTGAAAGCCAAGTTTGAATGTTCTAGCTACAGCACTTATAAATTACTCTGGCCCAAAATGAATGACTAGAACATGCAGAGGAAATGCTTCATTTACATGCTCCGTAACACAAAAAACACTGCCCCTGTTTGGTTCTGACTTTCAAAATAATCTAGGGGATCACACACTTTGTTGCTTTTACAGGCCAAGATCACTGCATGCACCCAGGGGCTCCTAGCATTCATCTGTCCCCACACCCCACAAACTCTATGTGCTCCTCTCCCATTACCCTCTATTTCTGGGATTCACTGCAACCCCATCCTCCATGGCAGGGGCTCTGTTTCATTCATATCTTTGTCCCCTATTCTCCTCCTCTCACATCAGGGGCTCTATGATTCCCTCCCCCTCACCCCACACACACATACCTCCAGTTTCCTCTTCTCTCCTCAGCATTCTTTTTTCTTCCTGTCAGAGAGATAAATAATTACAGATTTGGCTGAAGTTGCCTATTCAAAGTTGCCTGTTCAAAAGGAGATGCCAGTTCAAACGTTATTTGTATTTCATGTAAATAGTCGGAAGAATGCCATCAAGTTGACGGTAGGGTCTTGCCACCCACCACTTGTCAGCCTTCAGTGGTGGCTGGAGCTCCCCATTTATTAGTATTGACATACGTATGAAACAATTGACACATGACTTCTAGGTATATTGAATAGACAATGGCTGCATCTAGACTGGCATGATTTTGCGCCAAAGCGGCTGCTTTTGTGTACAATCTTGCCGCCTGTCTACACTGGTCGCGAATATTTGCACAAGAACACTGACTTTGTACTGTACAAAATCAGTGGTTCTTGCGCAAATACTCTGACGCTCCCTCTCAGGGATAAGCCCTCTTGTGCAAGAATTCTTGCGCAAGAGGCCAGTGTAGACAGGCAAGTTAATTTCTTGCACAAGAAAGCCCAATGGCTAAAATGGCCATCGAAGCTGTCTTGCTCAAGAGAGCATCTACACTGGCACGGATGCTTTTGCACCAAAGCACATCTCTTGCACAAAAGCACATGCCATTG